AATAGCGGCTTGTAAGGCATTTAAGCTTCAAAACTTGGGTTGTGCTCGTTCATGAGGTAACCCTTCATATAACATTTGAGAAAAGGAATTCTAGGTAGACTTAGAGATTCAGACCATGTTTATTTTTTATTTTTAAAAATAATTTATTTTAAGTAAAAATATTATTTGTTAATATAAATTTTATGTTATTTTCTTTTTAAAAATTACTTTTTTAAATTATTTTAAAATATAATTTTTAAATTAAAAATCAAAATAGAAACAAACAAATCCTTAGATAGTGTTGTTTACTTTGATTGGTGGGGCAACATGAAAGTGAGATGGTAGTATTTTACATGAAAATATTTTCAATAAGCTTAAATAAAATTTTGTTCTTTAAAATTTTCTTTATTTATTATTTTTTTATAACTATCAAATAAGATTTTTAAAAGTCTTTTTTTATTATTATCATATAGTGCCTTTATTAGTAATTTATTAGGTTTTTCATTCCAGCATCCAATTCAACTTATACAGGGCTAGCTCAACATAAATAGATGCCTAAAGTGAACTATAAGATATTTATTTTAAAAAAATAAGTAATATATATGGCCTATTTTTAAAAAAGACAATTAGCCTAATTCTTAAAAAATGGAAAGCATATTTTACAAAAAAAATTACAATAAGTTATATTATTCACAAATTTATTTACAATTAAAGGATTAAAAATATATTTAATACACTTCCATTACAATTTTTAATGTTTCTCTAGTATGATTTTCAATAAAAAAAATTATTTATTAAACTTCTAATCAATGTCTTCCAATTATCGATTAATAAGATCTAGTATTTTTTTAAAGAAATATTTCCTTTACTTATAGTTATCTATTAATATTTTAAATTATCTTATATAAATAATATTAACCGTTAAGAATTATGAATTTTATGAATCGTTGATGTCTGTGTTTATACTTAATTCGTTTTATAAATATCTATTCTTGAAGATATGTATAGAATCTTAGTTGTTTTTTTTTTAATATATATTTAATAGGGCTTAAAATGCCCAAAAATCATAACATAAGCTAGATAATTGTCCTAAGATATTAAGACCGAACAACATCCAAATGCAGAAAAGGAAGTAAGGATGGGGGAATCTTGTCAAAATAAGAAAAAGGCCTCTGACACTCAGTCCCAACTTTTGTCAGCCAATTAGCATATTAGTTGGTCTCTCTCAATATATGACTAAATCTAATAAATCGAATACATTTGACTAAGTTCCTAATTTCACTAATAACAAAATATAGCGGGTGATTACAATCTGAATATTTAACAATCAAGATAATAGATTCCTTTGAATCATATTCAATCCAAACAGATTGAAACTTATTTGTAATGCCAAGCTTGAAACCCCAATAAACTCCCCAAAGTTCAGTAGCTAAGGGGTAGCAAGGATCCAAAGTACTATGGTAAAGAGAAATAGCTCCATCCACATTCAATTTCAGTTGAGAATCCAGAGGTGGTATCCATCTAGCAAGGCACTGGACTTCCATTTCAGCCGAGGCAGCCTTTTGATTGGACCTGCCGTAGAGGAGATAAAAATCAAAATCAAGTTTTATTCTACGAACCAAAGAGGCAGAATTAAGGGAGAATTCTAGAAAATATCATGATTTCTATTCTTCCAAAGGTTCCAAATAACCATTCCAAATAGAATATTCCAGTGAGGAAATTATATTGATTATGTTTATCTAAATTAAATTCCAGCCAACGATCAAGGCCCTACTAAAAAAAGGGATCAAATTCTAAAGAGAACAAATTGATTCCAAACATTCTTTGCAAACCAACAATCCCTAAGAACATGCATCATAGATTCCTCTCCATCCCTTGCACCTAGAACAAATAGAAAAGTTAGCCATACCATGAATACACCTTTCAGAATTAGTTACCAACCTACCATGAGTAACTTTCCATAAGAAAAGGTTAATTTTAATAGGGTCTCCCTAGCTCCAAACAAGTTTTAAAAAATTCCATTTGAGGCATCTATGATGGAGTTTTTGAGGGAGTTTCCTCTTCAAGATAGCACTGCATTCTTCTGTGAAAGGTACTGCTTTGTCATTCTCTAATTTCCTTTTTCTTGATAACAGTTCCTTTATGAACTTAGCATTAGGGGGCATTTGTTCTAATGCCTTAACAAAAGGAATGTTTATCTACAGTTTCTTAAACACATTAAGGAATTTCTCAAACTGTTTTTGTTATTTCAAGTTCTGCACTCTTTGAGGATAGAGAAGTCTTTTGTATTTTTCTTCATCCATAGGCTTACAAGCTTCCTCAAACAATTGCTTCTTTGTTCTTTTTTCAAGCTTAGTAAAGACTTCTTTTTCTGAATTTTCTCTTTTCAGCAGTGTGAAATTCCTTTTTTCTAATTCTTCCTTCACATTTCCTTCGGTAGCTGGGGTTGTATCCTTTTACTCTATAGTTTTTGGACTTGCAACCATAACTCCACTTCTAGTAGTCATATCTTGGCACTGCTCCTTTGGATTAATCACTGTGTTGTTAGGGAATCTTCCCTCATCTCTATTTGCTAATTATTCAGCCAGCTGTCCAATTTGAGTTTTTAACTTCTTCGTTGATGCTTCTTGATTTTTGAAGCTTGTTTGTGTGATCTTCGTAAACTGCAGCATAGTCTCTTTCATCTCTTTCATCCTTTCAGTCATTAGCGTTGAAAATTTTGTATTCCTTTGAGGTTGAACAAGGGAATTTCCCTGAAAGAATTGCTGCTGTTGTGAATTTCTTGCATTTGAAAAGGGAATAGATGAGTTATTGCTTTTTACAGCAGAGTTCTGAGAATTTCATTTATAAACTGTTGGTTTTTACTAGCTAGAAATTAGAATCCATGAGGAAAGGCTTGCTGTTATCTTTGATAATTTCCCATGTAGTTAACTTGCTTCTGTGGTTTTAATGTAGACGCATCACATGCTCTATTAGCATGGTTACCTCCATAAAAATCATAGATCAGCTGAGTAGTTGGGACAGGTCCAGCTTGTAGTTGCTTATCTATTGAGTTAGAGCTGCAATCTGCTCAGAAAATAACTAGTTTTGCAGTTGGTTTTGAGCAAGAAGAGTCTCTAATGCTTTAGCTTCATATCCATTATATCCATTACTTCTCCTAGAATGTCTATGATAAATCCATATTTTACTATTATTTTACCTTAATTTTTAATACATTTGATATAGAAAACATGATAGAGAAAGCTGGAAAACTCATAAAAATAATAGAATGTTCAATTCTTTTCTAAATAGTTTAGTTGTTTAGATTTTGTGAATTTTCTGTGTAAAAATTACTGATGAGAACATATTTTGTAGGAAACTCTGAGCTGAGATCATAAGGCTAGAAGATCAAGAGAAAGGTAGAAGAAAAGTAGTAATTTGGGAGATAAAAGGCAAGGAATAATGAAGCCAGTTGTTGGGCGTGATCACTATTTTAAAGAAAAGTGATCATTCCAGAGCCTAAGTTCAGAGGCTGACTTGTGCGTTAACACTTTTTCCAACAAAAGTAATCACGCTTATGAACAGAGATCATGCGTTATCACTATTTCTGATAATAGTGATTGTTCCAGAGCTGGGGTGAGAAGAACAACTTGTGCGTGATTACTATTTTTAGGAAAAGTGAATATGCGCAAGTTTGATTTGAGGCAATAGACTATGGGTGATCATTATTTCTGAGTAAAGTGATCACGCGCATGAGGCAAAACTAGTTGCGCGTTATCACTATTTCAAATAATAGTGATCGTTCCAGAGAGCTTTCCAACAGAACATGTTACGCGTGACTCCTATTTTGCATGAAAATGAACGCACGCATATTACTAGAGGTAATCCATCTCTGCGTTGCTACTATTATAAACAAAAGTGATTGTTCTAGTCATGAAGGTTACCAGAAGGGCTTCTGTGTGGTTACTTTATTGAAAAATAGTAACCATTCCAGAAAGGTGGAAAATTCTATAAATATGAATTAGCTCAGAATTTTTGCATCTTTTGTTCATTTTTTATTTCATTTTCTTGTCTTGAGAGAGTCTGAGAGACAGATTGAGGATGAACATCAAGCTTCACATCTTGAGGAATCGGATTGAAGATGAATCTTCGCTCATCTCCTTCTTCTCTTTCTTTCTCTTTTCATTTTGTAATGGCTGTCTAAACTTTTTGTAGTTAGGGATTTATGGATTTGAAATGGAAGTGTTGAATTGATTTTGGATCTGAACTTTGAGTATTTGATTTGGATTGAGTAGTTAATTTTGTTAATAGAGTAGTTGTTGGATGGATATTCAATTTACTAAACACAGAAAAGCTTTTATCAATAGAAGTTGAATTTGTTTCTTAGATCTGAATTAACTACCAAGATTATTGATTTCTTAGGGATAAGTCATCTTAATCTTGCAATCTTGTGGTTTCTAATGCTTAAGGTAACATTTAATTGAATCAGATCTAAGGAATTAGGATGATTGAATTGAATGTTAGAGTCATTGAGTTAAGGAATTAACATTTGATTAATAATTTATGAAATTGATTATCAACTAATTCAAATGCTTGAATGTTCAAAACTTGATTGAGTTAACACTAAAGTTTTAGTGAAGTAAACCCCTAACTATGTTTCATACATCTGTTTTCATATAAAAATTCGTATCTTTTGCTCTGTTGCAATTTCTGAATTTTGCACTTGTTAATTTGCTTTCAAATATTATAAACTCTAATTGAATTGTGTTAAGCTTAATTAAATTGTTGAATTGTGAAGTGATACTTGAGAAAACTATTCCCTGAGGACGATATTTGAGACTCAAACTTGATTTCAAGATTTTATAACTTGCTACATTCTAACATTAGAGTTTTGATACATAGAGAAAGTCATCATCTCTATAATCCTCTGAGCCTTTTCCAAAGATTTGGTGTTTAAGGAACTTCCTCTAGCTGCATCTACCATGGTTTTGGTTGCTGCATTCATCCAATTGTAAAAGGATTCCAATTGGATCCACTCAGAAATACAATGGTGAAGACATCTTCTTAAGAGCTCTTTATACCTCTCCAATGCTTCATATAGTGACTCCCTTTCTTGCTGCACAAAATATGTGATTTCTCGTCTTAGTTTAGCTGCCTTGGATGGAGGAAAATATTTAGCAAGGAACTTGTTAACAAGGTCTGTCCAAGTGATGATGCTCCCTTGAGGTTATGCTTACAACCAACACTTGGCCTTATCTCTCAAGGAAAAAGGAAATAGCCTTAACCTTATAGCATCTTCATTGACCCCATTCATCCTAATCATGTCACATAACTAGAAAAAATTAGAAATATGCAAATTAAGATCATCAGAAATTCCACCAGAAAAATGTTTCCAATGTACCAACTGGATGGAGTAAGGCTAGTTTGATTTCAAAGTATTAAGGAGTTGTATCCTTGCATATTCGGTATGACATAGTCTTCCAATGTTCTAATCCTATTTTGGTCAGCCATTCTGGTTTCCTGAGGTGTTTGCTATGGAGTAGAAGTAAACTAAATATTAATAGATTTCTGTGGAGAAGGTGTAGATTCCATCTCTTGGTCCTTGCTTACTGAGTTTTCTGTTCTTGTGTCACTTCTTAATCTTCTTAATATTCTGTCAATGTCAGGATCAAATACAAGAGCAACTTTGTTTTTGTTTTTACCTTCCATAAAACTAAAAGAAACAAAATAGAAACGAACAGAACTTAAAAGAAATCAATTTACAAAATGACTTAATACAGAGAATAAATGTAACGTAATGTTCTAAAGGAATTAAAAAAAATATCATGCATACACTTATACGAAACAGAAAAAAGTGCAGAATTACAAAAAGATGATGTAGAACTAATGTAAAAAGTAAATAACAAAATGCAAAACTAACTACTAAACAACATACATGACTAATGTAGAATAAAAAAGCAGATCATATAATAAGAAAGAGAAAAACAAAAGCTCAATCTAGTTGTCTTTTTGCTACTATTGATTTTGAAAATAACTAATCCCCAGCAACGGGACCAAAAACTTGTTACTTTTAGTATATACTCATTAAAGTAAGCCAACTAGCAAGTGTATTAGGATGGTTGTAGCAAATTATAATTTTTAAAATTAAAGTTGTGTCCCAAGTATCATCCTCAGTGATTGGTTTTCTCAATTATCATTTCCCAAATTAACAACTAATTGAACCAAATGTGTTTCAAAAAGAGTTTGTAACATTTAGAATAAAAAATAACAAGTACAGAAAAATAAAAGTTGTAATAGAATAAAACCATGAATTTTATGATGAGATGAGATATATGAATTAGAGTTAGGAAATTACTTCACTAAGACTTCAGTATTAACTCAATCATGTTCTAGACATCCAAGCATTTGGATTGATTGACAATCAATTTCACTAAATTTTAACCAAAGATCAATTCCTTGACTCAATGATCCTAATATTCAACTTCATCACCCTAATTCCTTATGTGTAATTAAATTAAATGTTGCATTAAGAGTTAGAAACTATAAGATTGCAATATTATAAAGACTTATCCCCAAGAAACCAGTCCAATTTTCATTGATAAAGGTTCCTTTTTGTTTAGTTAATTGAATTATCATCCAAAAACTGCTTTATTAACAAAATCAACTACTCTATCCAATCAAATACTCAAAGTTCAGATCCATAGTCAAATTAACACTTCCATTTCATATCCATAAATACCTAAGTATAAGAAGTTTAGAAAGCCATTATAGAATGAGAAGATAAAGAAAGAGAAGAAGGAGATGAGCAGAAAATCATCTTCAATCTGATTTCTCAAGATGTAAAGCTTGGTGTATGTCCCCAATGTCTCTTACAGACTCTCTCAATGTGAGAAAATGAAATAGAAAAGAAAAAAAGACCAAAGATCCTTAATCTCTGAACTGAGTTTGTATTTATAATTTTTTTGCCTCTTAGGCGTAATCATTGTGAGTGCATAGAGTGATCATGCAGATGGCTTTTTGCAACATTCCCAGGCTAATGTAATCACTCTTAGTGAAGAAAGTGATCACTTTGTGTTGTTTTTCTAGATTTTGGCATGCGCATGTTCACTATGATTATAGCTCTTTGTAATGATCACTTTGTGTGTAGAAAGTGGTAACGTCCAACTCATATTGGTGCGCCTGTTCACTCTAGGCATTCAAATGAGTAACACACACTCTTATTCTGCTAAACACATTTGCATATGTTCACTCTAAGTGTTCAAAGTGTTCACACGCAACTCTTCTCTTGGGATTATGCTTTGAAGTGTTCACTTTGAGTAGAAATAATGAACACTTTCATCTCTGCTTTTGAACAGAGGCTCGGTAATGTTCACTCTGAGTAGAAATAGTGAATACTTTCACCATATTTTGCTGAATCCACTCCAAAGGTATCACTGTATAAGCCAATAGTGATCACTTTCAAAATACAACTTGGGATTCTTCATTCTCTAAGTTCAGATTTGCCACTTTCTTTTATTTTCTTTTTTCTTGAATCTCAGCCTTATGATTCTTAACTTAGAGTTTCCTACAAAATTTTATTTCGATTAGCAATATATACTAAAAGAGCATAAAATCTAAAATAACTAAACTATTTAAAGAACAATGACATTTTTGTATTTTTATGGGATTTTTGGTTTTATCAATCAACTTTACTATTGAAAATTATTAGAAATTGAACTAAAATACTAGTAAAATATGGATTTATCAACTAATTTATGTTTCTTGTGTTATTTTGATTACTTTATGAATATAAGAGATTTAGTGGGGCAGAGGATACTCACTCTTACTAATTATTTTTAGGAATTGAAATTGAAGAAATTTAGAGAAGATTGACTGATCTAGAATCATATTCTCAATAGACTACGCTATTAGGGTTTAAAATCATTTGATAAATTATAATATTTTATTAAGTTGATCAAGTTATATAAATATTTTAAATGTCAATTTTAGAATTTGTGACACTTTGTTAAATTTTGTTGTAATTATTAATTTTAAAGTGTATACGTAATATTGTTAATTAGTATTTTATGGTAATTTGCAATCAGTTTTATATAAAATTTATTCATCGGAGAAGTGGTGCTGATTTTGTTTTAAACTGATATGTATATAATGTTAACTAAATAAATTGTTAGATAGAAAGTTAAATTTTTCTTTATTTATCACTTTAAATTTCCAAAACTATTCCTTTCAAAAGTTTTAAACACCCTTGAAATTTGATAAATTTAATAAGAAAATGTAAGTTTCACTTTTATTCAATTATTTAAGTCTGAATAGAATAGTAAATTCTTCTATTTTTCTTTATCGTTATAAAAATTTATCTATTTTTGAATAAGAAATTAAGGCTATTACATTTACCAAAATTACTAGTGTGTTTAATTCCAAGACAGTTGCAAATCTCTTTGGAAAATGCAGGATCATAATTTTTTGAGAAAAAAATAAAGGATTTCTCCTTGTTAATAGAGAGACCAGAAGCATAGCAGAACTCACTCAAAACAGCACATATAACATCAGAGTTTTGCCAATCAGTTTTTGCAACTAGAACTAGATCATCGACAAATAATAGATGGGAGAGGAGAATGGGTTCCAGGTCCTATCAGGCAATCTATCTTGGATTGAGTGAGCTAATCTTTCCATGCAGAAGACAAAAATATAAGGAGAAATTGGATCTCCCTGCCTTGTGCCTCTATTAGGATAAAAAGTCCCTATTTTACTATTATTCCAATTAATAGCCATAGAAGGGGTAGATATACATTGATACATTAACTTAGCTCTCTTAGTACTAAACCAAATTCCATGGACTGTATCCTTAATAAAATCCCAGCTTAGTGTATCATAGGCTTTTTCTAAGTCAAGTTTTATTAACATGTAACCATTCTTATTTTTCAGGTTATTCAAGGACTGGACAAGTTCTTGAAGAATCACAAGGTTGTCTATTGATGAGCAATATTTTGAACCCATACTTTATGATTTTTCTTTGAGTCAATAGGCTTTTAATTGTGCTTAATTGATTAATTTTGGCTATTTTAATCCAGGCTGCATTAGTTGAGCTTTAGTGGAAAAATCCCCTTAATTTCATTATTTTGACCACTCTGACCTTTGTTCATTAGTTTTGTAATATATGTTTCTGAGGTCAAACTTTTGAGTAGATTTCTATTTCAATAAATAAATGATTCATAGAGCTTTAATTTGATATATCATTTGTGAATTTTGGATTTCAAGCTTGAAAGTTATGAGCATTTAAAGTTGATGTTGAATTGTTATCATAAAGTCATCACTTTTGGTGCAAAAAGGAAACACTCCAGATCTTGCTTTGAAGAGTTCAGATGGATGTTGACACTCTAGAGCCTGCTTTGAAGAGTTCAGATGGATGTTGACACTATTTGTACTAATTGTGACAGTTCCAGAGCACATTTCAAAAAGCAAGGATGCGCATTGACACTATTTGTGCTTATAGTGAGTGTTCCAGAGGCTCTTTGAAGGAATGTAGTTGCACATGGTCACTTTTGGGACAAATAGTAAGTGTTCCAGAGGCTTTATTGAAGAAATGCCATGTGTGTTGACACTTTCTGGGTAGAAAGTGATAACATAGAGTGCTGTTAGGAAAATGGCCTGAGCGTAGCTCCCTTTTGCATTGATAGTAACAACACAGAGTGCGCATGGTTACTTTCTTTGCTTATAGTAACAACACCAAAAGTGCAGGAATGTTATCAATAGCCAAAAACTTAGAATTTTTGTAATCTTTTCTCATTTTTCCTTTTTTAGACTCTTAGAGGGATAGAGAGAGAAAGTTTTGGGAGCGATTCCCAAGGCTCAATCTTAAGGTTTCTCATTGTTTTAATCTTTCTTCTCCTTTTTTTGAATTTGGATTGCAATTGTCTTTATAATTCTGGATTCCATCCCCATGGAAGGCTAAGGATTAAGGATTGATCTTTAGCATAATTTACATTGATTCTTGAAGTTTTGGTGCATTATTAATTCAGCTTCCTTCTTGTACATGTTTTATCTTCCCTAATCTCATGAAACCTAAGTTTCGATCTGAACAAGAATTGTTTGCTTGATTTAATTCACATTCTCTTCTTAGTAAATGATTCATAATTCAGTTTGATTAAT